GCCGCAAGCGCATCCAGTGCAAATCGACTCCATCGCCAACTTCGCCTAGACTTTTTTTTCAGACTCAATTTCTTGTATGTAAAACAAAAAATTGCCATTGAAAGCATTATTTCAGGCTCATATGTATGACCGAAAACAATGACTAATAGAATGCGATTCATGTCCCTAAGCAGCAAATTGATTTCTAAAGATGATTTGGTACTTTCACTAGTTGCTATTTCATCATCGCGTTTCTTCTCGCCGTGGATGCAGCACCTAACAACTTTTCCATCCGCCTCTATTTCGCGCTTATCACATCCACCGAGAAATTCAAGCGAATCCTTTCATTACACTAGCAACCTTCCATGCATGCATTTGTAATTCTCAGAGTTCCGTCCACTTCAAAGGGCAGGACCCATGAAATCTGTTTTTAACAGATGCACCGTTCCTGGAAGAGGCAATCCGATGTTCAGCAACAACCAAATTATCATTTCAAAATAGACATTTAGCATATCCACAACATAAATCGATCAACGCCCCATCGCTTTTTCTGCGATAATGTACTGCAATGCATCTTTGGTTCATTCACTGGGAATTTTCTTTCAGTTCTCTGGCCAGAGCATCAGCATAAAATGATGCTCAGCTAACTGATGTTCGTTTGTCTGCTTCTTCTCTCGTTTTCACACAGAAATGCTTGTATTTGTGACGATTTCCACCACTACTCGAACCATCCTTCAGCTCAATTGCTGATTTTTTCAGGTGGATCATAATGCCAGAAAAAGAAATAGAAAGACAAAATACACCCCTCAACCGCCTGGTGAGAATCCGATGCTGATGACATCAGTGGTTTTTTAAGCAATTCGATCCCAAGCTGCACACCTCCAGCTAGTACCCGCTGCCTGTTCGATGTATGCGTGTTGCCTCTTCGGAAACAGTTCGTGTCAGTTACTTTTCAGCGAATATCATTCAGCAATATGCGACGCCCAAAAGCTGTGAACAAGACATGCAATATGCCCCGCCCATCGGAATGTACTTTCTCCCATTGGTCACAATGACATTCTGCACTGTGCTCGTCTGGCGGGCAGTCTGATTGTTTATATGGTCGCTAATGGATTCACCAAGCATTCTTCACCCAACTGTCTCATTCGTCAGAAGAAATAATTTACGCTGAATGTGATTTACTAAGACATCGCTCGCATTTATCGTTAATATATGAATTCGTTATGATAGTATATTGCCGAGTTTTC